TAACCTACAAAGCAGATAGAGCAGCAGTAGAGAAGAGCACTTTTAAGGACTTAAGTGAGGATACCAATGCAATTTGTGACTGGTTTTCTGGAGTCACCCAATAGATTTGTGTTATGGCCTCCCAAAGTAACACTGAGAGAAAACCCAGAGCTCTTCAGTGATCTCCAGAGTCTGGAAGTACTTTACAATCTGGTGTAAAAGGGCATTCTCACCTCCTTTCTTGTTGCAACATCTCTCAGCTTGACAACTCCATCTGCCAGCTCCTGCTCACCCACAATGGCAGCGAGGGGGATCCCTGTGTCCTCACAATACTGCAGCTGCTTCAGCAATTTAGGATCCTTCTTGTACAGCATCTCTGCCTAGGAGGGAATGAGAAGGGTGAACCACTAACCCAGCTTTGCTCTGATGGATACTGCAGTAAAGCACCAAAACCAAACCCTGCGGCAATCACTTTACTGCTCTGGGCTGTTCTTCTCTGCTGCCTAGACCTAAAGGTTGGACTTGATGATCTTAGAGGTCATTTTCAACCTGAATGACTGTGATCTCAGACAGGCCCAGATCTTGGAGAGACACACAACTAATGGAGTTGGTCTTGCTGTGCTACAGCTCCCTTCAGGCTCTCCCTCCCTCACCTGTGACACTGCCAAGCCCAAGTCATTCCTTACCTTGATCCCTGCATCCCACAGCTCGGAGATGAGCTTCATTCTGGCAGCAAGCAGGTGTTTCTGTGGTGTAGCCACCAGCACTTGGGTCTCAGTTGTTCGAAGTTTCTCCCCAGAAGCCTGAAGGGACAGACAAGGGACACTGATGGGAGTGACTCCGTGGGAATCTGCAGCTCACAACACCCCACCTCATCTATCTCCAGACCTTAACTCAGTCAGTGACAACCTGGCCACCTTTAATGAGCCCCCCAGAGATCCTGCATTGTGTCACACTACTTAATTGTGTGCTGCTGTTCCTTGGGGACCCTGGCCAACCTCCTGGACAGCTTCCCAGCCTCCTTTGATTCTTCAGGTACAAACACATTGCCTAAGCTTCACTTGCAAGGAATCACAGGCTTGGAACCAAACACAGAATGATGAATCTCCACAGAGGCTTTCCTGGGGTTTATTAGAGTGAGTTTAGAGCTGTTACCAAATTCATTGCTTCAGAATCCCCAGGAGAGAAAACTTCAGAGGCAAGACATGAGAACAAAGTGACTGGGGCACAAAGCTCAGAGTCAGGCCCAGAGCTCAAGGCTGTCTCTAACATTTCCTTGACATCTCCTAAGGAATGCTGCCCTCAGCTGCCCACACCTGCACCCTGACGGGCTGCATAAAAGGACTCTTATCTTCTGTGCATCGATATTTAGGCATGGGAAGCACCACCGTCTCCCCCAAAATTATCTTCCCTTGAGCACTGTGGAGCTGGAGAATAATAAACAATATTTGGCTTCCGAGAGCCTTCCCCAATGCACTGCCTGCATCACCTACCTCCAGTCTCTGTTCCAGGATGGAGAAGATGCGCTCGATGCCGATGCTGACCCCCACACAGGGCACCTTGCGGCCCTTGGCATCAAACATGCCCACCAGCCCGTCATAGCGGCCGCCCCCAGCCACGCTCCCAACGCTGACCGGCTCCTCCACGTGCTCGTTCTCCTGCTGCAGCAGCACAGCCTCAAAGATCACCCCCGTGTAATAGTCCAGGCCCCGCGCCAGGCTCAGGTCGAAGGAGATCTGCAGGGCACAAGGGCGGCCCCGTCACCGCCTGCTCGCCAGGGCCCACCCGGGCAGCCCCCTCCTGCCCCCACACCTCCTCACCTTCCCTGTGATGCCAAACAGCGTCAGGTACTCAAACAGCAGCTTCATGTCCCCCAGCCCTTCCTTGGCCACCTTGTTCTGGGACAGCTTTGGGTCCTGGAGAAGCTGCTCGATCAGGTCCAGCCCACCTGCGGGGACCAGCCATGCCTCAGGTGTGCCAGGGCAGCGGCGCCCGGCACCGTGGCCCCGGCCAGCCGGGTCTGTGCCCTGCACCTTCCACCCCCAGCCCAGAACAAGGCCAAGGGCAGCACCCCGTGGTGCTCACCGTGGAGCTGGACATACTCCCCGATGCGATCCGCAGCCTCGGGAGAGAGCCCCTTCTCTCCCACCATCTCACTCCTCACTTCTTCCCATGGCACCTGTGGGGGGAGAGAAGGGCATCAATTGCTGCAGGACGTTCTCCTCACCCACTGCCTCCATCAGCCCACATGTGCACAACTGTGTGGAACAGTCAGCAATCTTACTAACCATGCCTCTCTCTCACAGGAATTTTTAACAAATCACCAGGCTTTATTCTTAACCAGGCCCAAGAACTCCTCTAATCCTTTACAGACCCCAACTCAGCTGCTGTGAAACTCTTCTCAACAGGAACAGCCACAACACTGCCCAGCCTAAGACATCCATCCCAAGACCAGAAGTGTCTCCCCATGAGCCCAATGCTGACCTTGTCCAGCTTGTCCACGGTGCAGCAGGCAGGTATGAACTTGCTCTCTGGAACACCACAGACAGCAAACACACCATTCAAGATCCGACGATCGTTGACCTGGGGGAGGGAGAGGCACATTTACCTCAGGGGCACCCTCTGATGTGATTTCTTTTTTTCCTAGTGTGTGGGAAGCTGCAGCTATTGGCATTTCTTCATGCCTTTCGCCCAGCACCCAAATTCCGTGGGAAGAGAAGGTGTAGAGGTAAGAAAACCACCCTGTGACTATATGGATCTAGTCAGCTACTGGAATTCTGCAGACTGTGGTTATTCCTGGAGAAAACTCTGCTGACTGCAGCCTCAAGAGAACTCCTGGTATTCCCAGCTTAAGGCATGCCCAAACTGAGGTCCAGCCTTGGCATATACACCATGAGGAGACAGAGACGTGGGATGAACTTCTGGGTCAGGCCTTAGAGTGGGAGCAGGTGCTACTGTGTAAAACCACAGAACAATGACCACTGCTTCCCACAGAAGAACCCACCCAGTCTCACCTTGATGACAAAGTCCCCAAGCTGCAGGTCACTCAGGATCTCGTGCACGATCTTCAGGCACTCGGCATCGGGAATCATCGGGTCAAACTGCCCGGCAATGTCAAAGTCCTGGGGGCAGAACAAGTGATGGGAGCTCCTGGCAGAGCCAGGGGGGGCCTTAGCCAGGCACACCCTGCTGCTCTGCAGCAGCTGGAGTGGGAAAACCCTGCTGGCCTCGTGGCCTTGGTGGCAGCACCGGCCACCACAACACTCACGCACTGGTAGAACTCGCGGTAGCGGCCGCGGGTGGTGGCCGGGTTGTCCCTCCTGTACACCTTGGCGACGTGGTAGCGCTTCATCTTGGTGATCTTGTTCATGGCCAGGTAGCGAGCAAAGGGCACCTGGGCCCGAGGAGTTAAGGATGGGAACATGGAGATCCCCAGAGCTGTAGAAGCTGAACCCAAAGCCTCCCACTGCCCCTTCCCTGTGCCAGCTGCTTCCCAACTTTTTCACAATCATGGTGAGATTCTTGGGGCATCCTGTGCAGGGTCACGAGCTGCACTTCAACAGTTCTTGCAGATCCCTTCCAACTTGTGATACTCTGTAACTCCATGACCTCTGAGGAGATCATCCCCCAGGCTGACGATGAGTACAATGAACCACCAGAGCTCCTTCAACACTAGGACAGCTCCATTTCCTCCTCAGACCCACTGTGTGACAATGTCACATACACAAGGACACCCTCTCATCATTCCACCCTCTCACAGTGGGATCAGTGGGAATTCAGTGCATGGCACAGCTACATGGACACTGAAGGAGAGATTTGTTGAGACGTGGAGGTTGAGAAAGCCTGGGATGGACACCTGCAGCAAACACCTTTCCAGGTGGCACTAGCAAGGTGGGATGGGCACAGCAGAGGTGGGGACTGTAAGTGTGAGGAGATAGAACCAGTACAGTGGAACATACTGGTGCATGTCCACAGCGGGAAGGGACTTTGCTGTGGGCCTGGCTGGGAGATGGTGTGGAGTCATGACAATGACAGCCAGACCAGCTGGGATGGCCAAGGGGGCTGCCACCACCCCAACGGGACCTGCAGGCAGGCCAGGGTAAGAGCGATCCCTCAAGGCAGAGGTGGCCACTACCTTGGTCTGCCACCATCCCCTCAAGGTGCCACCATCCCCTTGGGAGCACAGGATACGGTGAGGTCGTAGCGCAGGGCCAGCAGCTCCCCTCCCTGGTCCTGCAGCTCGTAGATGAGCTTCGCTCCCTCCCCATACTTCCCCACCAGCGTCTCCTGGAGAGGGGCAAAGGGGCTGGTGACCGGGGTGGCTCTGGGCTGAAGGGTCCCCCGAGATGGGGCACAGAGCAGGGTCCCCACGAACCGGGCATTACACACAAACCCCCTCCAGCCCCCTCGGACCTGAGCCCACCTCCCCGTCCCCCTCAAAAAGAACCAAGAGTGACTGTCCAGCTGCCCTCCCCACCCGGCCATGCCCCGCACGGAGGGAGCTCCCAAACCCGTCCGAAGCCCCGGGGACGGGGGTCGCTCCCCGGTCCCACAGGAGGGACAGAGGGGACCCACAGCCCCCGGGGCCCGCTCCCCACACCAGGGGCGAAGGGAGCTCCCGCCGCGCCTCACCCGCAGCTCCAGCACGGGGGTGTCGATGGCGGCCGCGCCGTGCCGCTTGAAGCAGGACACCACGGCGCTCAGGAGCCGCTCTCGGAGCGCCGCCTGCGCCGGCGGGTGGTCGCGGGTGCCCTGCCCGGGATACAGAGCGGCCGTCAGCGGCAAGGGCGTGGGGGAACACTCGGTACTCACCGGCGCCACTCCCGCCCTCCGCCTTTACCTTGGGTGTCTTCAGCACCGGCAACCGCTCGCCACCCGCCGCCGCCCGCACCTGCCGGGACAGGGGTCCGCGGTCACCGGCCGGCAGCCAGGACCGGGCGAAGCTGCCGCGGTTCCCAGCGAGGCACAGCGGCCCGAGGCCCGGTAGGCATCGGGCGGCGGCCAAGGGGCCGAGGCGCAGCATGGCCGGCACCGGGACACCGGGAGCGCCGGCACGTGACCGCGCGGAGCACGTGACTGCACGGGCGGCCGCGCTTTACGGCGCCGCGCGACAGTTCCCGGTGCTGTGCCCTCAGCTCGCCATGGCGTCGGGCAGCGGGGTAGGTGCTGCCGCCGGGGTGCCCTCGGACTGTGGGCTGCCCTCAGAGTGTGGGCTGACGGCCGCTCGGCCGCCCTCGCTGCTCCCACCGGGCTTGGCAGGGCCGGGGGCCGGGCCCCGCCGCGCCGCGCTCGGGGCCGCTGCCAGGCCGCGGGATGAGGGATGTGGCGGGGCCGGGGGTGCCGCGGTGGGCGGGTGTGTGTGGGGTGGGAGAGGGCTCATCCCTGCTCTATACAGCTGTGTGTGTGGGCGGTGGGAGGTTAGGGTTCTCCTGACACCTTCGGGGCTGGGAGCGGGGTGGCCCCAGCGCGATCCCGCCCACAGTGAAGCCGTGCAGTCGCCGTCCCCGGAGGTGTTTGAGACGCGGCAGAACGTGGCGCTCAGAGCCCTCGTGCGGGTCGCGTGGTGGTGTTGGGTCACAGGGTGGACTCGATGATCTCAGAGGACTTTTCCAATCGCAGTGGTTCTGTGATCCTCCCGTCCAAGGGCCAGACCTTTGTCTGTCCCAGCATGAGGAGATTGAGCTGCCTCCGGGTGGAGGTGCCCACTCACCTCCAGCCCCCTGGCAGGGACCCCCACCCATCTGCAGGGTCTGGGCGATGGCTTGTACAGGTGGCCCCTTCCCTTCCCTTCCCTTCCCTTCCCTTCCCTTCCCTTCCCTCCCCAGGGAAAGGGTCGCCTTTTTCCTGGCCTGATGGAGAAACATCTCTGCAACTCCCTGACAGGAGGGTGCAGCCAGGTGTGGGCTGGGCTTTGCTCCCAGAGAACCAGCAACAGGATGAGAGGAAACAGCCTCAAAAGTTGCAGTAGGGGAGGTTTGGTTGGAAATTAGGAGGAGTTTTTTTCCCAGAAAGGGCTGTCCAGCACTGGAAGGGGCTGTTCAGGGACGTGGTGGAGTCACCATCCCTGGAGGTGTTCAAGGACTGACTGGATGTGTCACTCAGTGCTCTGGACTGGGTGACAAGGTGGGGATCTATCACAGCTTCGATTTGATGGTTCTGGAGGTTTTTTCAACCTAAATGATTCTGTGAGTGTTAAAATGGGATGGGTAAGGTAGGTGCTGCAGGTGTAACCTGAGTGGAGAGCCAGGCTGTTGGAACACCTGCAGTGACATCCCAAAGCTGTCAGCAGCACAGGGCTGTGTTTTGGAGGGGTTTTGGCCCATCTTTCCTTCCTTGAAGCCACTTACTGAGAAGTGAGGCACTGGCACTGCCCAGAGAAGCTGTGGCTGCCCCATCCCTGGAAATGTTCAAGACCAGGCTGAATGGAGCTTGGAGCAACCTGGGATAGTGGAAGGTGTCTCTACCCTTGGCAGGGGATGGGACTGGCTGGTCTTCAAGGTTCCTTCCAATCCATTCCAGGATTGATTCCATGAAGTGGGGGAGGTCAGGAGCAGGATGTCTGCCTGTGAGGGAGGTGGGGCCTGTGGCTTATTGCCAGCTGAGAATTCCTGTTGGATTGAGCCTGGCTTGAGACTCCTGTGTTGTTTCACAGGCTTTGGTGCTGATGCTGAGCACACCATTGGTGTCCATCTCCAGAGGGACCAGGAGGCTGTGGGGCACTTCTGGTTATTAGTCGTTGTTATTAATTTGGGAAATATTCTCTGTCACCCAAAACAGCTCTGAGATAAAGATTTTGGGGGCTTACAGCCCCTTTGCCTCCACCAGAGCAATTCAGAAACATCCCTTCAAATATTGTCCAACCAAGATCTTGTCACGCAGTTTAGTTTAATTCCTTTCCCCACGCCTGGATGAGGCAGATTGGTAAAAGAGCTGCAAAAGACTATTTTCCTTTTATTGCAACAGGAGAGAGAAGCAGCTAATAAACCTCCCCCTCTGCAGGCTCCCACCAGCTACGATTTGTGATAATGCCTGGCATGCAGGAGAGTCTGGAAAATACCCCCAAACGTTAATTTACACTCAGTGATATTTTCTTTTCTTTTGCTCAGGGTGGTTAATAAAACCTGTTACGACATCCTTAAAGTGCTTAAGAAGCTCTGGGAATAAATGAGAATTTTTCTACGCCTCCCCAAGGCATTTTCATCCCTATCAGTAGTTGTTCGTTCCATTTGAAGGATTGCCAGAGGAGAGAACTTTAAATGGCTGTGCTGCTGCTGTAGCTCCAAATGGGATTTGTGTCCTTTGGATTGTGATTGGATTCTCGATTTGGCTGAACGGAGAAGGCGGTGGGGTGTGGGGTGAGGGGGGTCCTTCTCCCCCGGAGGTGTTTTAAATACATCTTGTCCTTTCTTTAATGTGAAACTGAGAGGCTCTCCCTGCCATGCTGAGGGAAATGCAGCTCTATCCAAAGCGGGGTTATCTGCTCAGGAAATTCAGGAAGTGGCTGAGTGAAACCATGACTGATCTCAGGTGTAGGGGGCTGAGCTGCAGATGGGGCAAATGCTGGGAAGAGCTTGAGCTGGGTTGGTCAGAGTGGATGTGAGTGGAATAGGAATTCTCCAATCACTTCTGCCCTCAGCATTGGGGACTGAGTGAAATCCACCCAAAAAAAGAAGTCTTTGGTTTCTTCAATGCCAGCTTCACCTGAATTCAGCCTCACCTGAATTCATCTTCATGCACATGCTGTGTCCAGCTCCTGTGCCCCAGCATAGGAAAGGCATATACCTGTTGGAATGAGCCCAGAGGAGGTCATGGATATGCTCCAAGGGCTGCTGCCCCTCTGCTCTGGAGACAGAGAGCTGGGGCTGTTCAGCCTGGGGTAGTCTGAACACCAATCTCTGTCCGGGGAGACCTTGGAGCACCTTCCAGTGCCTAAAGGGGCTCCAAGAGAGCTGGAGGAGGACTTTGAACAAGGGCATGGAGTGACAGGACAAGGGGGAATGGCTTCCCACTCCCAGAGAATGGGGTTAGATTTAATACTGGGAATAAAGTCTTCCCTCTGTGGGTGATGAGGCCCTGGCACAGGTTGCCCAGAGAAGCTGTGACTGCCCCATCCCTGAAAGTGTTCAAGGTCAGGTTGGATGGGGCTTGGAGCAACCTGGGCTACAGGAAGGTGTCCCTGCCTGTGGAACAAGATGATCTTTAGGGTCCCTTCAACCCAAACCATTCCAGGAATCTATTAAAGTATCCTGTCACTTGCAGATAGTTCTGTGGAGCTCCCAAAGGGCCAGCATGCCTTGGAGGTGTTTCTGCCCTTTTCTATGTGAAGCTGCAGGAGGAGGACAGCAAAACCTGTGGATTTTGTACAGGTGCTTCCCTGGTACCTCCAAGCCCTGCCTTGACAGACAGGGTTTCAGAGCTTGTTCTGATTTGCTTGTACATGTGCTCACTTGGAAATCCCACACCGTGGCCTGTGATTTCATGGCGAGCTCGGCACTTTGATGCCTGCAACACGTAGACACTGCTGAGAGCAGACAGGCACAGCCTTCCCTGCTCCTGCAGGGTAATCAGTCTCTGTAGCTCAGGCTGTGTTTTGCAGCTTCCTTGTCTGACATTGCAGCTTGGATTCTTTTGGCTTCTGGAAGAAGGAGAGGTGTAATCTGCTGCTGTGTTTGTCAGGGGCCACTTCCCAGGTCTGAGATCCATCAGTTTCAATCCCATTCGAGTCTGATTTTTCAAGGCATAAGCCTGGATGATCATCTCAGGAGCTGTTAAAATCAACTCATTTCTTCTTTTAGTGCTCTGAAATTATTCTAGTAGTAGCTAGAGGCATGCCGCGAGTGATTATCTTAAACCACATCCATAATTCCTGGATGGAAAACAGAGGATATAGTATAATTCTCTTAATTTTCTGCAGTGGCCTCACAGGCCAAGTGATTTCCCCTCTTTACCCCCTCAGAGGTGATCAGACTGTATAATAAATGTTAATGAACTTTGTTTCCCTCCCAGATCAAGAACCTGGACTTCCGCCGGAAGTGGGACAAGGATGAGTATGAGAAACTCGCAGAGAAGCGGCTCACGGAGGAGAGAGAAAAGAAAGATGGTGAGCAGTGTGCTGGCTCCAGGCTAGCTGTGCTGGGTTGGCTCCAGTGAGCCAGTGAGGCTCCCAAACCCTTGGAATTTGGGAGGGAGAGAGCAGTGAGAAGTTGAATCCCAAAGGGGAAGAGCTGGCTTACTCCTTCCCTTTCTTCTTTGTTTGCCACTGAGTATATTTTTTTGACAAAATAAATTACTGAGAACCTTTCCAGGTGCTGACTCTTCTTTAGGGAAGGAGGGGAACAGTCAGTTTCTGGAAACAAGATCTCAGAATATGACTCAAGTCAGAGCTGGAGATACCTCAGAGATACCTGGTTCTAATAGGAGCCAGGAAACAGTGAGGAGGAAATTATATCCTTTACTGATTTAAAAACAAAGGTGCATTTTCTGCATGGATCAGGTAGTCCCAGATAGCCAGCAGGTCCCTCTGCACTAAGGGGAATATGAAATCCAGCATGTCAAGCTTGACCTTTGGTTTATGTTTTAGGCAAACCAGCTCAGCCTGTCAAAAGGGAGCTTCTGCGGCACCGAGACTACAAAGTGGACCTGGAATCCAAGCTGGGGAAAACCATTGTCATCACCAAAACTACCCCTCAGTCTGAGATGGGAGGGTAGGTTGTGGTCTTGTTGAGGTCTCAGAGTCATGCTGGTTAGACTGGGAAGCTGTGACACAGCAGGGACCCCTCACAGGGCACCAGGAGCTGCTGTCCTTCTGTGTTTGGAGCCTGGGATGGTGGGGTTGCATTTTTCTACACCTAAACTGTTTCTCCTGGGGTAACATATGGAACAGACCCAGCAGGCTGAGCCCCTTTGGACATTGTTCCTTGGTATCAGTGTTGCCCATGTGTAGAAGCAACAGAGGCAGATCTCTGCTACCTGCTTGGGTCTTTAACCAGGCCTGCTTGCACTGAGACCAGGACTGCTGCTCATTGGGGTGTCTGTGCACTGGGAATGGGAGAAACATCCAGACAGCTGTTCTTAGGAATGGTGTTTGGCCACTGTTTGTGTGAATCATGTTCCACCAAAGTCTGAAAGGGTTCTGAGCTCACCCTAAGCACAAAAAGAATGTGTTGAGTTTGTGTCACCTCAGGAGTGAACCTGTTAATGTCTCCCTGGGCAGTAGTGCCAGGGAGATGTGCAGCCCTGGCCAGCATCCAGGGATGGCAGGTTTTTTCCCTGACTTTTGCAGCAGCTTTTAAGGTGGACAGAAGGAACAGCTGTGCTCATCAGGGAGTTGCACTGTGAGGTGATAGGGGTGGTAGCACTTTCTTTGCAGCCAGGTGAGAGGGCTGTGGAATAGAAACCTGGGCTGTGGCCAGCCCTGCCTTGGGGGAGGGCAGTCTGTGTCACAAAGTCCATCCCACCCAGCAGGGTGTGGCTGGAAGGGGAAGATGCTGTGGCTGGTGTCTTGCAGAGCAGCTCAGAATTTGGTTTCTATCAGGTCAGAGGGGTGTCAGGGTCAGTACCTCCATGGCAGCCCTGTCCATTGGGTGTGCCCTTGCCCTTGCTCTTCACTGGGGCTCTCTTGTCTTGCAGAGGTGTCCTGTGTCCCCAGTGACATGCAGGTTGTCTCTTCTGTGGGTTGAGCTTTGTGTCATGCTTTGGGGTTCATTTTTTCTGTCTCTCCTGACAGGTATTACTGTAATGTATGTGACTGTGTGGTGAAGGATTCCATCAACTTCTTGGATCACATCAATGGCAAAAAACGTAAGGACCATTTCTTTGCCTCATTGGAGGGTTGGTTGAGTTGGAGGGACTGTTCCTTTTGTGCATCATCCATGTCTGAGTGCTGAACACTTATCTATGGATCAGGGAGCTTAGGAGATCAGGATGTAGAAGCTCATCATGAGAGCTGTGGAGGTGCTGCCCTTATCTCCTGACACCTTCCAGAGTGCTGGACCATTTTAATGGAATAAGCCCAGCAGAAGCAGTGACTGGTGTACTCTGGTTTGTAAGTCTGGAGAGAGGCTTTTTACAGCACTGAAACTGTAAAGAAGTACCTAGGTAAGTAAAATACCTGGGACTGGCTTATTTTTGGATCAGAAACTTCTCTTTGTAGAAGTTGAGTATAAGCTCAGAACTGGCTGGTGCCTGAGCTCCAGAGTATGGATCAGGACTATACCCTCATTGATCTGACTGTGGATATTACTTCTTGACATGTTCAGAGAGGGGGGAATATAGAGGAAGTAAAGGAGCAACAGGACAGAACTGACACACTTTGCATGTTGTTCCTGCTCATGAAGGTATTTTTGGCTCCTTGTGGATGTCAGAAAATCACCCCTTTACAAAAAGGCAGGGATGTGTGTGCTCTGAACCTGCACACGGGGCTGTTTGAGAGCAGGAAGCTCAGTAGAAACCTGAGGACTGGTTTTCTGTAGCTCAGAAAAGAAAACACAGTGTTTTAAAAACCTGTGCTTTTATGTGAATGGGAGGAAGGTGCTGACATGCCTTGTTTGACAGGCTGGGAGATGAGCGAGAAGTTCATAGGAGAGAATCTGGAATCAAAAATCCTGGCATGGCTGCATAGATGGGTGTGAGTTGTAGGGTTGAACTGGGATTGGAAAGTGGCTGGTTGCACAGTGCTTTAGTATATGAGTATGTCTGGGAACTTTTAAACCTGTCAGTAAATCTAGCTCAAACCTGCTTGTTCTTGGTAGCCCTTTTACTAATTCCTGGTGTAGTTTAAGCTTCCAAGTGCTGCTGCATCCCTGGGACAAACCTGTGCAGGGCTGCTGGAGTGAACAGTGGAGTGGATCCCCTCAGGAATGTGGGTTGGAGGCATTTCTGGGGGTGGCCCCGTCAGCATAGGCTTACCCACAAGTGAAAAACTGTGAATCTGCTCTGAAGAGCCACTGAATCAGAGGCCTGACTTTATATTCTCTGCTTTAGCTGGGAATGTCCTGTGTAATCAGGATCTCTGAGTGCCACTCATGTCTTGTTTAGCATCGCCCACAGCTGAGAGATGCCAGCCTGTCAGTTTTATTCTAGCTCCTTTTTCAACACTCCAACCCTTTTTTATTCCACTGGTCCAAGATTAAATTTCCTGAGGCATCAGAGCAAATGACAGGGAGCATCCAAATAAGGAACCTTTGAAGAATAGTCTGTGTTCTTGTTACAAGTAGTGTTTGGATTGTTGTGTGGGTTATGGTACCCCCTAAAGCCCACCTCCCCAACCTAAGAAATCCTTAGTCTGGCCCTGGAAGGTGCTCTGAGGGGAGTGACAGGCAGGAAGGTGGTGCTGTGCTGTTTAAATTGGGATCAGGGATGGAGACTTAGTGCAGAACACTGCTGATTCCACACGTGTTCTCCAGACCAGAGGAATCTGGGCATGTCCATGCGGGTGGAGCGTTCCACGCTGGACCAGGTGAAGAAACGCTTTGAGGTGAACAAGAAGAAGATGGAGGAGAAGCAGAAGGATTATGACTTTGAGGAGAGGATGAAGGAACTCCGTGAGGAGGTGAGTCTGGTCAACAGCCGAGGAAGCAAAGCTCCCCAGAAACATGTTTTGGGAGGAAATCAATCCTGGTTCCTACTCTTGTTCCTCAGAAGCATTGTTCTTGGTAGCACGGGCTTCTTATCTGCTCCTATGAATGGGGTTTGTTTTTCTGCTTTTGAAAAGTTTGTATTGCTCTTCCTAGAAACCCTTTCCCCTCTTTCTGTGTGAGAATAACTTTTGATGGTTCATATTTCCACTCAGAACGGGACAAGTCCATTTTTTGTCCCCCACTAGTTGCATTGGAACTTGTGTGGTCTGGTAGCAGATCTGCATCTTCATCCATTATCTTCCACAGCTCTTAGGATTGCTGGAATCCCCTTCCACAGGGCACTTGCTTCTGTGTGGCCTCCCTGAGTGTAGAAGGGCTTTGTGAACAGCATGCTGTGGTGCAAGATGTGTGAGGAGGTGATAAAAGACAGCAGATTTCTCTCAAACTGGCACTTAGATGTTAGTAAACATGAAAATCAATTATTTGAAGACTCCATGAAGTTCTGATAGTTGAGAAGCTTCTATGGGTTCTTCTCCTCTATCAGCAGCCACATAACCCAAGGTTACAAATCACTGCCTGTTTGAGTCTCCCTGCCCAAGCCCTGAGCTTTGCTTCACCACAGGGGAGCTCTTTGGGGTGCTCACAGAGCAGCCCTGTGCTCTGCTCTCAGGCAGGCTGTGGTGCTGCTGAGCCCCATCCGTTTGGGGGACAGGAGGGAGGTGTCCCAGCAGCAAAAGGGGTGCTGTGGGTTGAAAAGCAGCTGTCAGTCAATGGATGGCAAGAATTAAATCAGCAGCAATTCCTGATGTAGCTTTCTCCAGGGCACGGCTGTGTTCAGGAGCACAGCGGATGGTGATGAGCATGGTGGGAGCAGTTGCTAAGTTGGGAGCTGAAGCCATGCTTCGGTGTCACCCAGTACAAACCTGGCTCTGTTCCAGGGCTCATGATCCTCACAGAGCAAAACACTTTGATTAGAGCAGCGCAAACTCTTTGATGCCAAAACCCCCTTCAAAGCCGCTCAGAGCCTCGGCTTCTGTTCCAGTGAGCAGCTGTCACTCTGCCAGGCTGAGAGCCAGCAGGCATCACAGTCACTGGCACAAAGCATTGGGCAAGGCAATGGCCTCCTGCTTTCAAACCAGCTCCTTGTCTCAGCCTTGATTCCAGGTAAAACCTGTGATGTTTGCTCAGAAGAGAGAGTTTGATAATGCTTCCTTTTGCCTATTTGTGTGTGTGTTTCTGCTCTTGGCCTGGGAAATGGGGTGGTCTGGATTCGCTGGTGAACTTTCTCCTTGAAGACTGCAGGCCGGGATTTCTGCTGTTTATTTCCTCAGGCACAGCTTGGCTGCTGTGGGCAGGATTTGTGGTAATTGTGCAGTACCTGCTGTCTCAAAACTCCTTCAGCTCAGGAGGTGCAAATTGTTTTGCTGTTGTGTCCCTTGCTGCAGGAGGAAAAGGCCAAAGCCTACAAGAAGGAGAAGCAGAGAGAGAAGAAGAGGCGGGCGGAGGAAGATTTGACCTTTGAAGAGGATGATGAAATGGCAGCTGTGATGGGTTTCTCTGGTTTCGGCTCAACCAAAAAGAGCCACTGAACAGCTCTGGACTCTCCTCTTTCTCTAAACAGCTTGTTTTTACCCAGGGAACTCTGGATAACTCTTCAAAGACTTGATTGAGGACTTGTATGTAAATCTCCCAGTAGAAGTTGGCTGGAAGAGTTGAAAAGCGATTCCATACTCTACCTGTGCTGCAGATCAAGCTCTGCCTCTCATTAGCTTCCCTTCTCCTTCTGTGTCCTAGATCTGGCTGCTCTGTGGCCGTGTGTGTGCAGGGAAGTGCTCTGTTGGGTACATTTTTTTGTCAATAAAGTGCACATTCTGCACAGGTGGCCTGGTTCAGGATTAATCTAGTTGTCAACCAGGCCCTACTTGTCACCCAAGCTGTGTTTGAGATGCTGGGAGGGATTCACTTGCTTTTAGGCTCATAATGAAGGAAATGTGCCACAGCAAGCAGTGTGAGAGGTGCATCTTTATGGCTTGTGCTGAGCAGAGCTGGTGGCTGCATGGAGTCTGGGTTGCTGAAACTTTCCTGTGTGTTTTATCTGCAAGGGAGACTTCCCTCCTTTTCTTTGTGTTTTAGCCCATAATTTCCGTATCTTTAAGGCAGGGGAGAAATTCCTCCCCATTACTGGTCTAGGATAGAGCCAATGAAAGAAAGGTGTGTACAATTTGCCAGAAATAAATGGAATGTTTTAATGGGCCCTTTGGTGGGGGTTTGATCCCTTCTTTATTTTGAGAGCTTGGAAGAGCTGCTGGTGTCTCCCAGCTGCACAGAGCTGGGGTGGCCTTCTGGGGACCCAGTGGTGGCAGAGGTGAGGTGTGTGCCTTCCTCTCCTGGCTCAGCTCCCAGCTGCCCTAGGCAGACCATTGCCATCATTCTTGGCTTTTTTAAGTAATTCTGGAGATGGGTGTAAGAATATGGAAGGGAAAGGGAGTTCAGGGCTGGGGACCTTCATTCCCATCAGGCAATCCAAGACAGGCTGGGCTGCATTCCAGATTTTACCAGCCTTAGTATATTAAGGGCCATTTTTTTCCTGTCTACTGGCTGTCAGTGTCTTTTCACCTCTACCTTCCCCTAAATCCACTTCATTTCTGCTTTTATTTACCTCAGTCAAACCTTGTGTGACTCATTTCCGTCTGCAGTTAGGATTTATATTTTGCATGGCTGGGTTTTCGTAGCTCTGTCTCGCTCTCCTCTCTCTTTTTATGTATATTGATGAAATCCTTGCGCTTGCCCTTCTCCGTGCTCGTATGAAATTTCCAGCCTGGGGAAGGCTGCAGTGTTTAGCCTGCTCTTTCTAATACATCTAGAACAAATCCTGTAATGTTGTGCTGCTGTTTTAATTCCTTAATCTTAGCCTGCTGACAGCTTCATTGCCTCAGGTCTTTCCGCTTCAATTCAGATTATAATCCCCGTTGAAGATGCTATTGAAATGATATATAGCCAGTCAGATACAGCTGTCCTTGGAGGTTTGACCCTTTTAACTTGGCAATCCTTTGACTTTGGCTCTCTGAGCACACGGGCTGGGAGGGCGACTTTCATTCCAGCCACGTTCCTAGCGCTGTTCAGGCTGCAGCACGTGGCTCCGGCTGAATGGGAGAGCAGAGACGCTCGCGCCTTTGTGCCCTCCGGGGTGCGAAAGGGATGCTGCCATGGTTTCATGCACATTAAAAGTTTAGGATGTTTCAGAGAAGATTTAGCAGCAGCCATTTTATTCCAGCCACCAGCTTTGCAGACACCCAGCCCCTCAATGCAGCCACTCAGTTGATGATGCTGAGAAAGGGGCAGAGGCTGCCCCACATCCCCCACCTTTTCTAGCTTGTGACCTTGGAGCCAGTGACTGCTGTGTTGGTTTTCCCACAGTGTATCCTGATCTTCTTGTCCATCCTGGCACATCCAAGGGGTAAGGTGTGAAATGGGCAGCCCCACAGAAACCTTCCTGGGGTGGTGGTGAGGTTTGCACAGCCTCCTGCCACTGGGCCCTGCCTGTCCCTGCCTGCCGCTTCTGGGCGCTGCAAGACAGGGAGGAAATCCCTCCACAGCACAGTGCTTTCAATAACAAGATTCCTCTTTGGTGTAAAGCCTGTCATCCCCAAGCCCATCCCGAGGCCACCTGCACCCTGGGGGCCAAAGCCCCAGCCCCAGCTCCCCGTGCTGGGGCTGCTCGCGCCGGGGGAGCGCAGCTCTTTGTCTCGGCAGCTTGCTGGGAGCAGTGGTGTGTGCAGCAGCAGATACAAGCTCCTGCTGGATTCCCAGCAGCAGGAGCTGCCTCTAGCCAAGGATGAAAAGCTGGTTTCATGGGAGGAAATAATATTTAGAGAAGAGACAGATAACATTCCCTGTACCAGCCATGTTAACTCTTTGCTCCCACCGCTGCTTAGCAAGGCGTTAACTCCTGGCTCTCAGCCCCCAATCTGGAGCAGTGGTTCTCTGTGACTCCTTGCTAGCATTTGCTATCTCCATGTTGAATTTAAGGTGCTGGATGGGTCAGGACTTGGGGTTTTACTTGAAGAGAGAGAAGACCCAGCTATGCAGTTCCCCTTCTTCTCCTCACCAGTGACCGAAGTGCTCAGTCCCTACTGGTTCGCATTAGCTCTTCCACAAGTGAAAACTGGGATCTGGTGGAGTAAGGAGGGATGTTTTGCATGGTTTGCTCATCCAGGCTGGGATGTCCTGCCTACTCTCAATGTGAAAGTGCTTTGAGGTGCCTGGAGCCAGCTTGGTGCTTGTTCCCAGTGCCTGGGCAGAGGTGCAACTTCCTTGTGACCTGTGGCGTGGAGGACCTGGAGGAGGTCTGGGGACTGTGCTCAGCTTGAGCCTTCCTTATCTCCATCCCACTAAATGTTCATGACAGTGTTTGGAGAAGTACTCAGGCATCACAGCAGACCCCAGAAAAAAACAAATCTGTCTTGCCACCTCCACTTCCCCTCTCCTGATATCTTCCCTGGCTTCACCCTGGGATGAAGGGCTGAGGCCTCATGGAGAGGCTGAGCACAAATACCCAGCTGCTCTTCTTTCTTTCCTTCCTGGGAAGCTTCTGGGCACTTCCTCAACCCCACCCATTCCTGCTAAACCACATTCCCCTCACTCTCTATGCATCCTGCTTGGGACCAGAGGAGCAGCAGCAGCATTCCCACTATCCCAGTAGGATGAGTGGGACCAGGGGTCTGAAGTGATTCTGGAGAAGGGCTCCCAGCCTGGCCCTGTGTGGGCTAGCTGAATCATTCCCTGTGACTTTATTATCAGAAAGACCTGTTTTTCCAGCAATTTACACCAGTTTTACATCCTGAAAGATTTAAGCGCTTGGCAGGAGCTCCAGTCCTCCCACTGCTCAGGCCACAAGCTACTGCTGCCCCAGTTAGGCAGGCATTCCTGCCACTTGCCAGTGTTAAAGCTGAACAACATCCATAGGCAATATCCCTGGAAATCCTGCCTCCTGCCTGGCTTTGACCTGGTGCAGTGGTGCTGGCAGTCTGTGCCACCAACCCCTGCTCTGTGGAGGCTGCTGGGTGTCCCACGCTCCCATCAGTCCCATCAGTGCTGTGGTACTATCCCACACAACTCCAGAGCCAGTATTCCTGCTCCCTCTCAGCTCTGGAGAGCAGTGTACTGAGAGCCACCTGGATCAGTCAATGCTTGGCCCAGTCTGCATCCTGTCCTTTCCTTGTGTGGCGGCAACAAGGGGGAGAATCTGATCTGTGCAAGGGCAAAGGTTCAGACCCTGATTAGAGTTGGGGCTGCTGCAAAAGAGAACAGGAATCACAGGATCCTGGAATGGTTTGGGTTGGAAGGTGCCTTGGAGATCAGCCAGTTCCAACCCCCTGCCATGGGCAGGGACACCTTCCACTATCCCAGGTTGCTCCAAGACCCATCCAATCTGGCCTTGGACACTTCCAGGGATGGAGCAGCCACAGCCTCTCTGGGCATTGGTTGAGGAAGGGATGGGAGGCAGAGATAGGGCGAGATGAAGATGTATAGAGGGGAGAATCCCTGGGCTGGGAGGTATTTGCTTCCCATCTGGAGCTTGGGTGGGAATCTTGGATGATGGCTGTTGCAAAAAGGATCAAGCTGGGAACCAGGGACACCCACAGTGAGGTGGTGCTTGGCCTGGAGACCTCAGCAAGCTGGGCCATACTCCACACACAAAATTTCTGGGGCTGAGCCAGCTCAGGCCACAGATGGGGCCACGAGGGAACAAGTAGGGCTCTGGAGTGTTCTAAACTGGAAGGAGACAACCCCAGTGCCCCCCATCCCTGTCAGGTCTGTTGCTGCATCCAGGTTGGGGGATTGCTGGATGGATGGTTTCTGCTGGGCTCGGTGTGGGGCTCCTGAGCACAAGGGAGGTTTTGCTCTGTTGTAAGTGAAGTACAAAACCATCACCAGCCAGAGAACAAACAGCTCCAGGCTGGAGAGGGAGCAGGGAGAGGGAGATGGGGAGGAGCAGGGGGAGCATGGGGACAGGCCATCCGCAGGAGGTTTTTCAGGGACTTGTGATCTCAGAGCAAATTTCTGCTGTTGGCTGCACACCAGTGGCACCATTTCACCAACTCATGCGTGCCTCCCCATCGCCAGCTCCGCAGTGCTGAGCGCCTCGGGGGGGTCAGGGCCGCTCTGCGGAGGGCTGCGGGAATATGGTCCCTGCTCGGAGAGCGTGTGATCTGCCAGGCAGCCGGGGAGCCCCGGGGACACTGCCATGCCTTTGTTCCTCCTGCTCTTTCTTTTCCACCTTCAGATTTTTTTCCCTTTGCTTCCAGCTGCGCATGCAGCACTCCCCCCCACCCCGTTTCCACCCACAGTTCCTGTCTTGATTTTCCTTCCCCTCTACAAATATGTGTTCCTTAGGCTTCTTCCCCTCCCTGCCCAGCTCCCCCCATCAGTGATCAGTGTTGCCTTCCCAAACTTCTTTTTATTTTGCCTTCTCCCTGTTTTCCCACAGGCCTACTTCATTCCTTCCCCTTCCTGCTTCTCTCCCCTTCCCTCCAGCCTCTCGGGCTCCCGTTCACTCGCTCCGTCTCCCCTTCTCTGACAGTTTGGGGGAAATCTGTCTGTGTCAACACAGAAATTCCATTATTTATTGGCTGAGTGGAGCAGGGTCCTACACTCATCTGTAATTGTCTCCAGATCAAAGCGGCTGCTGATGGCAGCTTTGCCTTCTCAGAGCAGAACACCACCCCCAGCTTCCAGCTCCCCATCCTCCCGGGGGAGTCGGGTGCGTGTGCGTTGACACCCTCGATGACTGATCTCTCAGACAGAGAGGAAAGAAGTAGGGCTGGTGGGGGAGAAAAGGGAGGCCTGGAGCATCTGCAAAGCTCCCTGGAGAAGATGGAGATGGTGGGGTGTGTCTCAGGGAGACAAAGTCCCTGGCATGGGCCGGGGGAGAGTGGGAGGGTAGAGGTGGTCCCTATCTTGGGAATGGAGACAGAGAGATGAAGTGAAAGAAGGGACAGGGAAACAGGAAACATCCCCATATCTGTCCAGGACTGGAAGAATTAAATTTTAGTAATGGGGATAAAGGAGAACATGCCTTTTCATGCCTTTCCCTTCTGAAACCACCAACCTATCCTAGGGATGCGGGACTTCAACGTGAACTGCAGGCACACAGCTTTTGTTTGGGTGTTGATGCAAGATGTCTGTGGGGAGAGGAAACATCCACTCTGACTTCTGCCCCTTGGCCTCCTCACTAGGGTCCCAGCTTCAACA